AAATACATACAAATATATATATATATATATATATATATATATATATATATATATATATATATATACGGACAAATGTTACACCTTGATCGCAAATCGATGACCAATGAGTAAAGCAAAGCGTAGCTCGTGTAGCACGTGATGGTCAATCAATAAATGCCGAATCTTTCTTAACGGAAAAAACGCCTCCGATTGCATCTAACAATACTTCGAAGCAAGGAGAAATTCTGTAATAATCTCAGTAGATATAAAATGTTGCCGATTCATCTGCAATCAAAGCTATTTCCCATTTACCAATAATTTTTATTATTCGAAAAATTGGAATACCAATCGTTTCTCTTTTGACTGAGACCATAGCTTGTGCCTACGTAGAGTTTCTTGAAGCTGGTCTTTTCTATAATATTTTATCTTAGCAATCAACACACTTCCTATATATTGATTACGCTCTATTAATATATCCCCTCAAATCAACAATAACTATTATTGTAGATAACTAATGACAGTTGAACATGCGATAAAATACACCCACAAAACAGAAACACATAACACTTTGCATTTCATAGATATTAGGTTACAAGATACTGATATTCACGTTCGCACATCAGCTAAAAAATATGATCTCATAAATTTATATTCTCACCATAATGACAAAATAATTTGCGGAATAATTAACGGATTATATTTAAGGATCATTCAGAATTTGTTCACCTCCATATTTTATATGAAGAAGAGAAATAAGTTGAAAATACAGTTCAGCTCTTCTAATATTATATTTATTTCATATTCAACATAGAACAAAAACCTAGTAAGATATTACAAAATAAATGAGTGGCCATTCCGACAAAAAAAAAACGAAGAAAAGTATATTATTCTACTTACAAACTATCACAACTACAATTTATCTCAGCTTAATATAAAAATTGTTATAGCTACCACTAAAACGATAAAAGACTAACTTAATAAAAAACTACACAATAATAAGATAAAACTTGAATTTAACCTGTAATAGTTGCCACAAGTAATTCATTGAATAAACCTCGAGAAATTATATGATCGTTTACAAAACAACACACTCAACGTATTTGATGCTCAATAAATTTAAAAACATGCATATATATATATATAATCGACTCTCCCGTCGAGATTCGACGTATGAGGGTCAAGCAGATCAGTTTCCAGGAAACTGACAGCCCGACAACAGCACATGAGATTTGATTATCGTACTGAAGGCCTCGTGCAGGACCATCCACACTTTTTGAAAGGCCGAATACAGAGACCTGGTGCACTACGTGCCACAAGATTCCCAAACGACCCTCGGGAGGTTTTGAATTCAGAGTTGTCCATCCAAGGCTATAGAAACCAGTCTGCCCTGCTATTTTACCCATAGCTGGAGGCAGAGGAAGTGAATTCATACCTTTCCCATGGGTATTAGCACGTAAGTGAATGTAATGGATTCGACTGGAATTCGAACTCAGCTCTGCGATTCCTCAATCCAAGCCACTATCCATTACTCCACCGTGCCTCCATCTCTCTCTCTCTCTCTCTCTCTCTCTCTCTCTATATATATATATATATATATATATATATATATATATATATATATATATATATATATATATATATATATATATATATTAAACGAATTTGCGACTAGGTCAGCATCACTGCCCCACACTTTCACTGTCGAAGCGATTAAATGTAGCCGTTTTTTCTCCTCAAATATCTTCATATCTTGCGCTTCCTGTCTGTGCAGAATCTCTTGTTCTTACTTGATTTCCTGATGGCCATAATCTTCAACTTCAAATGCAATGTCAATTGACATCTCCAGATGCCTTTTATCTATTCCTCATCCTTCTCTTCATCCTTTCCTCTTTCACGCTTCTTTACGCTTGCTTCTACATTCTGTAACCCCTTGCGTTCTAGTGGCACTCCTGCCTTGCTTGGGTGAAAACCTTTTAAATATATATATATATATATATATATATATATATATATATATATATATATATATATATATTTCATTTAAAAGGTGCAAATATAATTTATAAATTCATGAAAAAAACATACAAAAAACAAATATGTATTTAAATGGCGAGCTGTATATGAATGATACGATCCCCGTTTATAAATTCCAGTTGCATAAGGTCTTTTTAATTTTTACAAGCTTTCGTCTGTTCCTACAGACATCCTCAGGTATGGAAGTAGATTTTGTCCTTGTTTTTACTTCTCAGTAATAAGAGGACAACGAAAATAGAGATGTAATCCGATAAATGCTATGAGAAATGTGTTATTGTTTTATACAAAAACGCACAAATTCAAACTCAGCGTTGCGACGGCACGTTCTAAAACAATAACACAAATGTACCATGAATGATGCAGAAATTATTACAACTTCTATTCATTTTTGCCTTAAGTATATTCCTTTTTTCTTTTTCCCTTTTAATGAAAACTGAACAAAATTTTCACATAAGGAATCCAGTTTTAATTAAAAAAAAATATTAATTTATTAAGGAGAAAATATAAAGAAAGTGATCTAATGTCTGAGTTTTCCATGATCAATTTGCGTCCAGGTTACCATCGCTTTTACCTTAACGCATACATATCTAGATAACTTCTCAGCGGTTTCGGTTTTCCGTTCGTATTATTAAGTAATATGTATATTAGTACTTATGCCAATGTCTCTCTTTCTCTCTCCCTCCTTCTTTCTTTCTCTCTCTCTCTCTCTACATATATATATATATATATATATATATATATATATGTATATGTATATGCAGACACACACACATTGCGTATGGATGCATCTTTGCTCTCAATACATGGCCAACGTACACGCGTTTGATGCAATCGATGCAGATCTGGTTACAAAGAAAAGACACATTCATATTGTCTCTGTATGCGTGGATGATAGTTAACAATGTAGATGTATGAACGTAAAAAAAATGACTAGCAACTTGCAAAACAAACATATTTTTACTCACGCTCTAATACACAAGACTAATGATAGATACATGACCACAGAGACATGGCGGGAATACAAACGCAAGCATAAACCGATCGAATGCAGGATGTTGGGAAAGGGTGTCTGGTTTTCAAAACAAACATCAGTATCGAAGAAAAGCAGCAAAGGTTTTAAGCCAAGTCACCTATCTTTCTAACTCATTGGTGTGTACATGTTTAATGCTTAAGAAGTGCTGTGCGGTTCTACGGGTTATTGACCAATAATACAATATTGAATTTCTTATTTTATATTTTTTCTTGTTTATAAACCAGATCGTTTCTTGTTCTCTCTGTTATAGAGTAACTCCATCTTCTACTTTCACTTTCACTTCTACTTTCACTTCTACTTTCACTTTCACTTTCAGTCTTTTGGCTTCTTTTATGCTTTTGCTAGTTACTCTCACATCGTCCATGATTTTTCATATAGACGTTACAACCGTTTTATCTATATTTCTATCTGTAATATTGTATTTTATTCAATAGTGATTATCTATTACTTTACTTTTATTATAAATTTATGCGTTATATTCTTTATTACTTTCCCTTTATCGAATAATTTTAGGCTTCCACTGCCGATATCGATTGAGGCTACCCTTTCTATTTTATTCTGTTGTTCATAGTGACTTTATTTCTCGTTTGTATGGCTTACACATTCGATCGCCTTGCTCCACATATTCAAAATACAATTATTTATTACATTTAAATGTAATAGGCTTTTTTTTATAATATATACCGGAAACCTTTAGGTCGTTGTCCATTATGACTCTCCACAACTTCCTATCTTTCATAATTCATAGTAATGCTTGGCTTTCTAACTAACCTTCACACTTCCAGTTCTACCATCTATATATTCAAGCGCATGAGACAGGCTACTCTCTAAAGCCTTCTATTCCACTTGCCTTCGATATACCATAGCGTTCTTTTCTTATTATGTGTTCCAAAAAGTGCAATTGTCTCTTTATAATTTCATGTATAATTATGCTACTTGTTTCTGTGTGCATTAAAACTTCCTCGCTCCTCACATACACCGTCTATGGTATTCTAAACACGCTTGTGTAGAACCGCATTTATGTTCCCTCAAATTTTCAATTTATCTGCCTTCACGGCCATACAGGAAGATTGATGTTACATAGCAGTTTCAGAAATATTTCTTAGTAACGAAATTTTCCTGTTTATAAATACATTGTTTAGTTTTTTGGAAAGTATCTTTAGATAATACCATACGCCTTCGGATTTCGGAGCCATATTTTAAATCATCAGTTAAAACACTTCCCAGAGATATAAACATTTGTAGTTGATTGATGTTGCTATATCAAATTCATAGCAAAAAACTTGGGTTTTCTCTCTTACTGACAACCATACAGTTTCTTATTAATAAAAGTAGCTTCTTCGCTGAATTCTGAAAGTTGTTTTCCATCCACCTAAGGTAGCATCTTTGACTTCAAATGAGGTCATTTCAAACAATTATTGTAGCTTCTAATCTGTTGGATGCAATGTTTTGATTCAGCTGATTTACAATCCAAAAGTGAGAGCAATATCTCTGGTAGGCCTTCCAGCTGCATCTTTCCTTTGTTACAGTCCATCTCATCTTGTATATACTTGAATCTGAGAGCATTACAATGCTTACACTGAATGATCATTGATCAATCGATATATTTGGACGATTTGAATAGTCAGTGTCACAAGTGTATTGAAAGACTGGACAGCTTATAAAAGAGATATTCTTGTTAGCACTAACCTGCTTGTCTTTAATCAGGTGTCTCCAAAGATCTCGGTCTTCTGTTGTTTACAGCATCTGATTCTCTCCTTGATAACATCTGACTGTCATCCTCTACAGCACTTGATCATCTCTCCCTTGCTGTATCTGCTTCTCACCTTGATGAAGATTCCCTGTCATCTGCAGTACTTGACTTTCTCTTCCTTGAAATATCTGCTTTGATCCTTCCTTGCACCTTCTCTAATGTTTCAGATGCCATTGAGATTCTGCGATTTGCAGCATCTTCATGCCTCCTAGCTTCTCCTCGAGTGTTCCTTTTGCGTTTCTCTCTATATACCTTACAGATCTGGTTTTCGATTTTTCCATGACATTTTGATGAAATAAATTTGAATTCCTCAATTCACGTCAAGGAATCTCAAAACCTCACTTTAAACCAAACTCGGGTCCAATTCTAGCCAAAAGAAGGATATCCTACTTGGGCTGAAAATCACAATCCAGACCGAAAAATGAGTTCTTCTATCTCAAACTCTATGGAATTCAAATTGAGTTGTGTTCTTCAAATCACAAACTCTGAACTTCAAAACCTCACATCAAGAAACTTAACTTTGATTCTTTGGCATTTTGAATAGATGAAATCGGTTTCCTCAATTCAAAAAATATTTTGGAGATATTTTAAACTGAATTTAAAACAAAAATGTTAAAATTCACAAAGTTTTTGCGTTACTTTAAATTCAATATAAATTAAAAACTTTTCCAATTATTATTTTTTCAGTTATTTTAAGATTTGAAATTTAACTGTTTCTTCCTCATCCAGACAGCAACAGAAGGGCAGATTTTCAATCCCTAGATTGTCATGATTCCAAAAAGGTATATGTTTATGAAGAGCAAGTGTGGCCGAACTTAAAGGACACAGACCGACAGACAGAATTACCCGTTTATTTATTTAGAATATCGTTAGTCCTTTTTTTCAGCTTTCTTTTTTCCCTTTTTCTATCTCTGCCTGCTATCAGTAGACTATCATTTGCATATTTCATGTTCGTAAGATAGTCCCCATCGATAATAAACACTTGTCGCATACCATCTCTCTCCCTCGGGTATAGCTTCGTTGTATATTTGATATTAATCCGACTAACTGTACATTTATAGATTTTTCTCGTAATCATTGAATAGGTCAATTGCTTTTAGTATAACGTCGCATTTTGAAACGCTTGCACCTACTTGATGCTTGAAATTACGTTTGTTTACGAGACTGAGCTAGAGATTTGTTAGCTGGACATTCTACCAAAATTCAATCAAATGAGGTTTCATTTTATTTTTAATCTGTTCACTGAACAACATTTCAGCACACCCCTAGAAATATATTGATTTTGTTGTTCTAACAAGGGAGATAATTGCGTTTTCGTTTTTTTCTTTCCTTTTCTCTTTTTCTCTTTTTTCTTTTCAGTACATGATTATTACTTTTAATTCCCTTGCTATTTCTACTGTGTTTATGTCATCATTTCTTTCATTCTTTCATTCTTTCTCTCTTTCTTTTTTTCTTTCTTTATTTCTTTCTTTCGAATTTTCTTTCTTTCTTTTATTCTTTCTCATTAGGCTTCCTTCTTTTCTTTTTTTCATAATTTCTCATTTCTTCTTTTTTCCTGTTTCTTTCTTTCATTCCTATACTTTTTCATTCTTTTGCGTTGTTGTCATTCTTTTCTATTCTTTTCCTTCTTTCATTCTCACTCATTTTCCATCCTTTTCCCTTTTTTCATAATAAGGCGTTTTTATTCTTTTCTTTCTTTCTTATTATTTTCCTTCTTTCTTCTTCGTTTTCTATTCTTTTTCTTCTTTCCTTCTCATTAGTTTTCCTTTATTTTTCTTTATTCATTCTTTCTCGTTTATTTCATCTTTTCTTCCTTTCGTTCTTTTCCTTTTTGTTCTTTTTTGTTCATTCATTTCCTTGTCATTCATTTTCCATCCTTTGCCTTTCTTTATTCTATTTTCTTTCTTTCTTTCTTTCTTTCTTTCTTTCTTTCTTTCTTTCTTTCTTAATACCTCCCTTCTGTCTCCGCCTTTTCCCACTCTTTTCTTTCTTTCCTTCTTATTTCTTTTGCCTTCTTTTTTCATTCAATCTTTCTCATTTGTCCATCTTTTCTTTCTTTCTTTCTTTCTTTCTTTCTTTCTTTCTTTCTTTCTCATTACCTCCCTTCTGTCTCCGCCTTTTCCCACCCTTTTCTTTCTTTCCTTCTTATTTCTTTTGCCTTCTTTTTTCATTCAATCTTTCTCATTTGTCCATCTTTTCTTTCTTTCTTTCTTTCTTTCTTTCTTTCTTTCTTTCTTTCTTTCTTTCCTTCTTTTCATTCTTTTTGTTCAAACGTTTCCTTCTCATTGTTTTTCTGTTCTTTTTCCTACTTTCATTCTGATACTTTTTCATTCTTTTCTTTATTTTCCTTCTTTCATTGTTTCTCATTCTTTCTCCTTGTTTTTCAGTTTTTTCCTTCTTTCCTTCTCATTTTTTGTCTCTTCTTTCCTTTCTTTGCTTCTTTCGCATTCTTCTCCTTCTATTTATTTTTTCTTTTCTTTTTCATTCAGTGTGATTTATCATTCTTTCAATTTAGGCTTAGTTCTTTCTTTACGTATTCTCTTTCATTTTTCCTTTTCATTCATTTATTTTTCCTTTTCATTCATATAATTCATTCGTCTTTATTTTATCATTTACTTTTTATCCACCCAATCTCACCAGCAAATATTATTCTCCCTATTAGCATTCCTTATCTCTTTCTTTTTTATTCTTTTTCTCCTTCTTTCTGGCATTCAAGTGTTTTTGGGTTTTTTTTTGCCTATTTCATCTGTTTTTCTTGTAACGTTTTCCATCCATCCATTTCGCACCCTCATTCCAGCTTCCACGTTTTCAGTCAACGCCATTTTTCTGCTTTTTATTTATCATGTAATATCCATCAACGTAAGTGATAGCGATATGGAATGAATTTTCCTCGGAAAATCAATGTTCCGAACCGCTTGGGACAACCGGCTTCTGTAAGCAACCTCTAGTAATCCGAAATATGTTTCGGCTTTAAATAACCCACAAAGGGTTGATAAACCGTAAATAAAGAAAAAGACAGCACAGATCAATTAATCAATCGCTGTTCAGAGATCGCAAGTTACTACTGAACGATGCATATATTAGACGTACGAGTAAAGGTAATATAAGAAGCCGTAATGCTAATAGAGATATAATGTTTATAAGTTCTTACGGTCACATACTGTACACTCACCGAAGTTAAGCAATATCGTAACATCTCAGTACTTAGGTGGGTAAAAATACCTGATGATGCTTGGCTATATGTGTAGTATGATTTACTGCCATATCACATCGAGACATCGGTTCAGATCACCGAAGTTAAGCAACGTCGAGCCTGGTGAGTACATAAATACGTGACCATTTGAAAATACTGGAATCGTATGCTTGGCTATGAGGGTAGAATGGCTTACAAAGTTATATCACGTCGAAACACTGTATTTCTATACGATCATCAAAGTTAAGCAATGTTGAGCCTGGTCAGCATCTTGATGTGTGAGCGCTTGGAAATACCAGGTGCTTTGCTTACAACCATATCATGTCGAAACTGTGATCCCGTACGATCAACGAAGTTAAGCAACGTCGAGACTGATCGCTATCATGATGGGTGACCATTTCAAAATACCAGATTTTGTATGCTGGGCTCTGAGGATAGAATAACTTCCCGCCATATCACGTCGAAACATTGTGATCCTGTACGATCAACGATGTTAAGCAACGTCGAGCCTGATCGATATCTTGATGGGTAACCAATTGAAAATATCACATTTCGTCTGCTTGGTGATGAGGGTAGAATAACTTACAGCCATATCACGTCGAAACACTGTGTTCCTGTGCGATCAACGAAGTTAAGCAACGTTGAGCCTGGTCGGTATCTTGATGGGTGACCGCTTGGAAATAACAGATGGTGTATGCTTTGCTATAAGCGTATATATATATATATATATATATATATATATATATATATATATATATATATATATATATATATATAAGGCACGGTGGAGTAATGGATAGCGGCTTGGATTGGTTTTGAAACAAAATCCATTACATTCACTTATGTGCTTGGGAAAAGTGTGAATCCTCTTCTTCTCCCTCCAGTTATGGGTAAATAGCAGAACAGACTGGGTTCTATAGCCTTGGATGGCAACTGGTCTAGAAGGAGGACAACTCTGAATTCAAAACCTGCGGAGGGTCGTTTGGGAACCTTGTGGTCCGTGGTGCACCAGGTTCCCAAAGTGATAATCAAATCTTATGTGCTGTTGTCGGGCTGTCGTTTTCCTAGGAACTGATCTGCTTGACCTTCGTACGTCGAATTCGACGGGAGAGTGAGTATATATATATATATATATATATATATATATATATATAGCGCCAAAAGAATGGCCGTCGCTCATGGCTACAGTGATTCAATCTTAGAAAGCTATTAGGTACAGATGAGAGTTTAGATATTATTAGCAGTATAACCCGACATCGACCGGGTGTTTCATTATTTGGAATTTTTGCCGTTCAATTAGAGCGGTTTAAGTTTAAAGTCAGCCCACCCGAAAATCAATATTAGTAACAACATTTGGGTTCAACTGAGACACATTCCCAAATGGGTGGTGTTAACAATTTGAATGGGCGGGGGTAGCCCTGGACAATCTTGCAAGGAAGGAACCTCTTCCATGGACCGTCGTAATAATAATATACGATAATATTTATCTCTAATATAATTTTTCTATAATTCTAATAATCTTTTGCGGTAGATTTCAACACTCTAAATTGATTGTACGCTGTTTTTTTACAGACATTAAATTTTGCCTTTGATTTTTGCGCAGAGTGTAAAAAAAATCATTTTTTTTCGATTTTTTACCTTCAAGGTTGTAATTTTTTCCCGCCAATTTGGACTCAAAACCGGCACTGAAGAATTATCTATTAAACAAAAAAAACATTATAGTCATCGGATAAAAACTGTGGAAACAACATTCGATCACACACATACACATACACACACACCCACACACGTACATACATAAACACACATATTGATAATATATATACTGTAAGTTTAATAGAAGTATCGTGATGAAATCGTTGATAAAAAAATACGTTCATCACTAATTAATCATAGCTATGGATTGGATCGAAAGCTCAAGAAGGATTGAAATATAATATATATATATATATATATATATATATATATATATATATATATATATATATATATATATGAAGAAATATAGTCTTAAGTTGTGCTATATTTATGGGATAAGGTGCTCGATATCAGAGATAGAGCGTGTGTAAATATAAAAGTGAACATAGAAGTCAACACTTAGAGGTGACAGGCTGTTTCATGCTATATGCAATGGTCAGGCCACGTGTGCTGTTATTTTTTTCGGCTATTTATACATATACGGGTCAGTGGTGCATTGTGGGTAGTCTATTATGGCGGTTATTTTACCGGAAGTCGTTTATTTAAAAAAATTGTTTATATCACTTATTTAATAGTTTTTTTTTTGGGGGGGTGAGAATTTAATTAAAGCTATCTGTTCCGTTTTGGGGGTTGGTTGTTGTAGTTTTATTCTAAATATTATTTTCGCAGAAACAGTTTTTAATTTGTGTTTATTTGGGTTGATTATCTTTATTTGTTTTTTTCTAACGGTAACTTTATCGGGATTGGTTAGTTTATTTATTTACTTGGATGAATTTAGGTCAATTTATTTTACTTTTATATTTTCTTGTTTCGGTTTTCGATTTTTTAAGTAACGTAGTATTTATTTATTGTGTTTATTTTATTTATTTATTTTTTATCGTTATCAAACAGTTATAGCTATTTTTTTCGTCCGATTTTTTGCTTTTATTTTTTAGTCTAACTAATATTTTGGTCGTAATGATTTGCTACTTTGTTTATTATTTACTTTATTTATATGGGTTCGTTGTTTTGCTTTATTTTTTTTTATTTTTTGTTATGATTATTATTATTATTATTCTATTTCTTCTATTCCAATAGGTGTGATTTGGTAATTTGTTTGGATTAATTAATTTTGCTTTTTTATTGTTATTTTGTTTACTTGTTTATTTATTTGTTTTTATTTTATTTTTTCCGTTTTCAATTTTTTAAGTAACGTAGTAAAATTTGTTTTCATGTCTGCATTTTGAGATGAGCTCGGATCTTATATATATATATATATATATATATATATATATATATATATATATATATATATAAGAAGATAGATAAAAGAGTTTGGTGCAATACATGAATAATTCGATCTGACGATGTCATTTACGTACATGACTTTTAAAGGTTAATATTTTGGTGTTGTAACAGTTTGCCGTGCTGGGTGAAATTACCCCTAGTCCAGGCTACTCTAGTTTTAATATCATTATTTCAGATACTAAATTTCTTGAGCTATTATCGCTGGTTCCCAAACTGCATGAATTTAAACGTGCTACTAGATTGACATCTCAGTGTCCCACCCTTTCAAAACGGTTAAATGTAGCCGTCTCTTCTAGTCCAATAGCTTCATGTCTCGCACTCTTCCCGTATGTGAAACTCCCTTCCTCTTACTTGCTTCCCTGATAACTATTCAAATGCAATGTCAATCAATATCTTCCTATGCTTTGATCTAATTCCCCGTCCTTCTCTTCATCCTTTCCTCTATCACGCCTCTTTACTTTTTCGCCCACTCTCTGTAAATCCTTGTGTGCTTGTGTCAACTCCAGCCTTTTTTGGATAAAATGCTTAAAAAATCATACATATCTTTTAAGCCGTTGGCATTTACTAATTCTATATCGTATTTATTACGTCGATGATGATACTTTATCTATGAAAGTCTATTATTACATCTAACGATGCTGAGGTTTGGTTTGAATAGTGTGACGGCATATCACCATCAATGTGCATGCGTCGAACCTACATCCCCTAGGCTTAAACAAAGCCTGAATCCCACGTGGCCGGATCGGTTAAGTACATCAGCTCTAATAGCGGTTTCCTAATACGGATGCAGGTTTGAATCCTGCAGAAGGACGCATATTATCTGGCAAGATTTCTCGAATATTCAGGCCGGTAAATGTAATTAAATATCCATAGTGTTTTATTAAATAAACAGAGCATTTACAGGAATATGGGTAGCCATCTACAAATGGCGTTTAATCAAATAAATTAGAATATATCGGATTTAATCCATTTCATAAAATATATATTTGTATACACACACGCACATACACACACACGCACACACACAGAGATCTATCTACCTATCTCTCTCTCTCTCTCTCTCTCTCTCTCTATATATATATATATATATATATATGTATATATATATATATAGGCGAAACGATCCTATTCAAAACAAACAAAATACGATCGACAAGGTACTGCGGTTACTTTCCTTATTGTGCATTTGGGTACTGCAGTTACACTATATATATATATATATATATATATATATATATATATATAAGCATTATATATATATATATATATATATATATATATATATATAAGAATTCATATATATATATATATATATATAAATGCATTTTTTTTTTTAGTCTCTCTACATATATATGTTTACATATATAAAGAGAGCAGTTTCTCCTCTTTCAATGTTAAATTGCATATATATACACGTTTGTTCCGGTAAGGCTCTGAAGAGTGAGTATCAAAAGAGGTATACTTTTTTATTATATATATATATATATTTTTTTTTTCCGCATCTCCTTATACTGACTTTAATTTATAATCCGTGGTATTTCCACCTTATTTGTTGGTTATATATATATATATATATATATATTTTATTTCTATGTACGTTACATACCCTTTTCTTTTTTTATTATGCTATTTCATATAAATTCAATATTGTACTTATTGTATATTACAAATTTTTACTCTTTTCATGTTACCACGTATGTTCACTTACTTTTTCTTCGGTGATATCTTACGTCCCCTCAACAGACTAATTTTAGCAACTATACACATTTCTACAGTTACTGCAATATTCTTTTACTTTCACTTTCGCTTTCTCTGGTTCTTGTTTCGCTTTCACATTCTAATCAAATGATGTATGGTCGTCCTTAATGTGAACGCCAGTCGAATGAAGTATAATAGAAAAAAAATAAGAAGCGGGATGTTTTATTTATTGATTTATTTATTGTGTGGCGTTAACCTATTTGTGGTGTTTAGAATTAACCCTGTGGCCTCAGGAGGCGAAGACAACGCAGTTAGATGACCTGCAGGTTGTTTGCGCTTTACTCTACCGAAAAGCAAGTGCGCAAAGCAAAGGGAAATAAAAGAAAACGGACAGAAATGAAAGCCAACGGAAGCTCAGCAATTGATGTTAATGCTTGTCTAGCAAAATCAATGCAAGGCAATGACTGATGCATGCGAACATACCTCTCCTTATATATATATATATATATATATATATATATATATATATATATATATATATATCTGCGATGGAGTATTATGCATTATGTACACTATTTACACTGTTCGGGCAATAATCCTCATCTTTGTTGCCATATTTATCACAACGTTTCGGCCGTTGAACGCTCCGGTCTTTTTCAGGTGGTTGGAATGTTGAACTGAACCCTTTATTTCGCTCGCTGGGGTAGACTGTTCTTGTTCCACGTGCCAGGTCTAATTGATGTCACTTATCAGTTATCTCCTGTTAATTCCCCTCCCCAAGTTCTCCACCAGTGACAGGACCCAAAGAGTGTGAGTTCAATAACTGGTTAAGGAGGTAACCTGTGCCAAAATTACAAAAAGTCACACCACTTACCTGTATATTGAGATACTGGCCGTAATATATTTCTTTATGCATTGTCTAGGAAACAACCTACAGCACATACCAGTAGGCACCGTATCCTGTATCGGAATAACTTAAGGAACTTTATAATTCGTCACAGTAAAGTCAGCATT